GGGCACCATCTACCCACAACTATGAGATAACGTGGTTTACAAGTAGCTGTTTTCAGAAGAAAACAGAAAATATTGGGATTTAATACAGATGCACTACCTACCAGTCACTCAAGAACAAGAAACGATCAGCTATTTTCGTTCCAGTGAATTCCTCCTAAGTCATAAGTTTTATGCTATGTTGGACGAGGGAAGCGCGAATTCGACCTAACCAAAAAATGGTGTGCTAGTTAAACACTGCCTTGTCCATACCCACAGCGACACGATCCCAAAAACACGTAAAATAGTAGGTTGTATTTTCTAATCACTACGCCCTGGATACTATATGTGGAGCTTACCAAAACTACAGCACCCACTTTCTTTGAAGCTTGAACCGCATACGGTGAGATCCAGTTGTACTGAATGTTTTTTCGTACATCACCCTCTGATCTATCTTTGACTCTCTGGACAATCGAGTAAATCAATAGTGCGAAGTCTTTCAGTCATCCTGACATCGCACCTGACTCAAGTCCCCTGGAATTTATCTCACAGTCTCAGCACGTACCGGCCCGACACCGAGTACCAGCGCTCAGTCGCCGTGCTATAGCTTCTGTGTTATATTCACACTCCGTAAAGCGGAACGGCACTCAAGCCTTGCTGGATAGCCCACTGGCCTGATTTAGCCATCAGACGTGCCTGCCCTTGTTCCATTGCTGTGGCAACCGACAAAGTGGCGTAAGATTCACTGTCTCACCCACCGCTAGTTCAGACATGCTTACTCGGATGCTAAATCACCCTGATTGCGATCGATGGTTTTACACGAGTCCAGCCACCTCACAGGGTGAGTGACGTCCACGATCACCCGATTCGGTCACGTGAACAGGTACCTATGCAGACGAGAACGAAGGGAGAGAGGTACTTTGTGCTTGCGTAGAAAGCCTGGGCAAAAGACTGAGCGAAACGCTCGGATTTTGTGGAGGCGCGTACAGACCGTCGGGTGGGTTATACGCATCAACCGACTTGTGGAAATTGGTCACTATTTCCAATCGCATCGTAGTGCCACCGCATACCTGCTTCACACAACCTATTCCCCACAATTCAACCTTACAAAATACCAAATCGCCAGGACAATGCTTATTTCGTTCATTTCAGTGCCACAGTCGAACAGTAGACGAGATCTATGGTTGTTTAGTCACACGGTTCAAACATGAGCAATGATCGAACTGAGCTCATTGACAGTAAATGGCTGGACGCGAAAATGTATGTGTGGAGGGCCACTAAGTGTGAACAGAGAAGAGTAAACAGAAAGGGGTTAAGGCATAAATCAACAATGCTGCTACGGAAATGCCACATGGCTCCCCCAGAATGCAGATAAACCAAAGAGAATCCGTTAAACAGAATGGACATGTAGCCATTGGGAGACTCAGTTGATAGGTGCCTCAGCACCACGTCCAAACTGGATATGTTTAAACTATGAGGTAGGTTCTCCAGGATATGGCACACTGCGTAAAAATGTCCTAAGGTGAGACTTTAGACACAGTTGTCACGGTAGATACCAGAGGGAATGTGTCTGCGTGTGTGGGTTCTCAACGTATACAGCTTATAAACGGTCAGTGCTAACAGTTCATAAGATAGACCTTGTCGTGACAAACGATAGCTGTGTACAGGTCGTCGCATGGTTGTTACAGGGGTCGGCAAACATCACCAACATGGAACACAAATCAAAACGAAGAAGCATAGTTAATGATCTCTTTGTATTTGGGCTAAACGAGGTACTTTACGTGTGTCATTTGACCTAAGGTGACAAATGTGCTGCTCAAACGGTGCACTTTGCTGACCTAATATACCAGAGTCTAGGACCATTACCCCGAGTAACCTGAGAATAGTGGCAACTAGGAGTTCCGCAGTTGAGCATTTCATATCTCCCGTTGTTGTGTAGTCTAAGGAACGTAACTGGTAACTGCTGCAACCACTGTGTATTGGAGAACACCTTCACAATGTTAGCTTTGAATTGACGTTGAAAACGTTTGACGGGGTGATTGACAAGAAATGGTATACAGTATGGCACTTCCCAAAAGGTGTTGTAGTTCGCGGAAGAGATTCGAGGTGGACTGGAATCCACGATGAGGGTTGATGATTGCAGGTGTTCCGAAGAATATTACCCGCGGTTCCACAAACATTCTGGAACCAAACGAGCAGCGATATTACGTATAATTGTCACATGGGGTTCACAAGTGGAACAATCAATAGGGATTAGAATTTAGGTAGAACAATTGGAAAAGGGCCCTGCAAATGTAATATGGGCCTGTATAAAGGATGGTCAGGATGTGTGAAACGTCCTGAAGAATTACTTTGCTAGCAAACAATACGATGTTTCGCCCACGACCGAATGTTCTCACGCATGTTATCTTGGAGAAATGTTCAGCCATTAACCTTGCCTTTTTCATGGCTAGTGGGATGAGATAGGAACTGAGAACTATGGAAAATAAATCTGCAAAATCAGTTGGACGATGAAGTCAGAGGGTTACTGCTGTACCCACAAGTGATCGATGAATTACCGGTTAGAAATGGAAGTAAATTGCCAGAATGTAAATCACTACGTTCACCCGAAATTTGCTGCATAACCACGAGGGAAGTTAGGTAAAAAAATGAAAGACGTAGTGTGTATATGGGTACAAGATAAGACATATGCAACTACACCAATCAGATATCCGGTGTAAGTTGACGGTTAATAAAAAGATGTCGCAATAAGCGTAGAAAATGGCTTTTGTGTTTGGATTTGAAGACGAACAGAACTGGTTTGCAACACCAAATAATCTATTGAAAGCGGATAAATGGCCAATAGCTCACGGTCAAAGGTTTTGTAAGTGTTTTGCTGGTACTAGATTCCAGAAGATAAAGATAAGTATTCGTTTGTTAGTCCAGTCCGTTTGCTGCAGGACGGGACCAATTGCAGCGCCAGGCATCGGTAATAGGCTTGGCTGGAATTCCTAATCATGAGTGATGTGCGCCAGCCCAGAGATGTTGGCAGCACGAGGTACATGGGTGAGATTAGGGACAGACTCTTGGATTTTTATTGCAGCAGATCAGTCAACAACTACAGAAGAATTGACCATTTGAGAAATACAACGGCAGTAGTATTTGTCTACACCTGAAAATTGTCGTGAACGTTTGACGTACACTAGGAAACGGTAGCTTGTAACGGCATCAATTTCCTGGGGGATGGGCTTCATACTATAATGACCAATACTGTGGCCAAGAAAACCCAATTTGGTCAAATCAAAAACACATATGGACGGTGGGGCAAGAACGTGTTAATCGATCAGAGATCAAACGCAAATGTATGAGGCTTTGTGGGACATGGTGAACAGTAACCATAAGGCCATCAATGTAGATACAAACGTATAGAGAAAGATCGATTGTTTGAACAGTAGTAAGTAAACCAAAAGGTTTGTGAGCAAATTCGTACAGTCCGAAAGGAGTAGTTGCAGAGATTTTGAGAATGTCATCAGGACACAAGGACCTAATCGTGGACGTGCACCAATTCAGTTTTGGAGGAGACGCCCTTCCGAGTATGAGTGTGAGGAACAATTCAGCAATCAGGGGCCGTGACGATTTTGATAGTCACCACAAGGTCTTGGTCCCTTTGGTCTTCTCTTGGACCGGACATAACACGGAGGTCCAGGGGTTATTACACAGACGCATAATACCCAAGCTGAGTATAATGCTTCTGTGGTAATATCCTGCCTTTTTAATTTTCTTGGGAGGTGAGCGCTGTGAGCTGGCGAAGGTGAATTCAGACATTCCAATCAACTGTCCTACCTATACTGATCGAAATGTTCCATATGGTATGTTTTCTCTTTTTAACATGACGGTATATCACCAATCAATACTTCCTCCCCTTCCTGTGTTTGTTATGAGAACGGTCTGCATTGATGGCCGTATAATGCTTTCACTGCTATTTAGCCCATGAGATACGTCTTCATCGATCTGTCTCTTGTTTCAAGACGAACTTGATTTCAATTTCACCTTTTGCACCCAAAGTACCTTAGGTCGCTGTGAAGAACTCTGCTGTGTGTGTTATCTCAAAAACCTTGCCGTTATTTATAATCAATTCTTTGTAAGCTATTATCTGAACTTGTTCCCTCTTGGATAATCTCGGTGTAATCATTGAGTGGTCGATAGCTTCGTTGCAGATCTGAAAGCCATCCAGCAAGGCATAGCTTAACATTAATAAAATTGTGGGACGAATGCTAAAGGGCTACGTTCAGACCATAACCAATGAGGGTTCTTCGAAAGAGGTTCACTTCCGCTAAGTTAAGAAATTGAAGGTTGCCTATTTCATCTTTCGTCCCTGTTACATATGGTAGAATGTCTTCACCAAACTACTTCCAAGAAGCACAACGGTAATCGAGCTTTCATTCTTTCCAGTCAAACATAACATTTAGGTTATTGCGCATGAGAGAGTACCAAACCTTTCTTCAAGCCGAATAAACCATGTCTTGAAAACACCCGTAAATTTGTGCACTTGTCATGGCTTCCCTTATTAACAATTACTTTTCTCTTGGTAGTTATTGCTGCAGCAATTTTTCATAGAATATGTGTGCGTAATCTCGTGGGTCCCTTGAAAAAAAACTCGTTGAGCGTGAATATTTGCGCAAGGTAGTCGAGATGAACTTGAGTTGTTCAGTCACACACAACTGTGCACATGAGCACAATTTCGTAGAATGCTCTCGTAACTCGGATAAGGACGGATTCGCTCATTCTGAAAATTCCCGCGTCTCCATTATGTCGACAAATTCATATGAATATGCTACGACGACCGCAGGTGAGTAACACCGATGATGGTCACATGTCTTGTTGAGATGAGTTTCATGTGTACGTTGGAACACAAGCGCACACATATGGCTGTCATATACACTGATTGAAGCCTAATGAGGCCAAGCTACTAAACCATCACGCTACACAGAATACAGATATTCGTAAGCTTCATCCACACCTGCCGCTCAATATATATTAACGAGTAGGCATCAAGATCGACGGGTTGTGAAAACGTATCAACGCAACAATGGGTGACCGCAAGGCTGTGATCAAGAATGCCGATATGAGCAATGATATGCAGGATGATGCCGTACACACTGCTGCCTATGCGCTGGACAAATTCCCATTGGAAAAGGATGTGGCCGCACATTTAAAGAAAGAGTTCGACCGTAAATATTCGCCCACTTGGCACTGTGTTGTTGGAAAGCACTTTGGAAGGTCAGTAAAATTTACGTGGCTTATTCGTTACGCATATTGTACTACTATTGCGAGTGTTCAAAACCCGCGTTTACATTTTTTCCTTGCAGCTACGTGACGCACGAAACACAAAATTTCATCTACTTCTACCTGCAAGACCGTGCATTCCTCCTATTCAAATCCGGATAAGTTCGTTTTCAATCGTGGAGAAAACAGAGGCCGCCCAGATTTGCTGTTGCTTATACCAAACCACTAGGTGATTTTATTTTGGTCATCTCGGTTAAATAAAACTGTTTTGGCTGATACGGTGTTGTCCCTGTTTCGACTGCTTCGATAATTTATTTTTAAACAAACTGTACAAACGTCATAGGATTGGACGCCCACACAACTCTTGGTTTGGGATAGGTAAACAAAGACGTCAAGCCCTTCCTCTGAGTAGAAAGTTCATTTTGGGTAACCCCACGCCAGATATTTCGACTGGTATTCTTTCGCCGAGGAAATCTCACCCTGTACATGGCTGACGAAATGATCTGTTTATGGGCTTCTTCTGAGATATCGCCAAGTCGTGGTATTGATTGTAATTAATGGTTCTCTCAGAATGAGGAATAAGAGTTTGAGGGATTCATCGCAAGGCAGTTTGGTGCACCGGCGAATACGAATTGCTGGAGGCCATGTCTAAATATATGCCGTATGCACTCAATTCGAAAAAGTCGCACGGTAACACCAAAACATTCTTCTACTGCTAAAGAGACTACTTTCCCCCCGATGCACCTCATTTCTTCTCGGAAGAGTTCTCGACAGAATCGACGCACGTAATACTTTCTTCTATATGAATACAAATCTCCGCGCAATTTAATGTAGTGCTTATGGAAATGAACTTCCATCTCAACGTCTTGTTCCAATACCAGTAGCTGTATCCAATATAGGTAGAACAGAAATGCAGCAAACTGAATTCATGTCAGATCGCGACTCAGAAACAAGTAAACACATACGCTTGTCTGTTAATTTATTACCATTATTGTTAGTACTAATAAAAGGCAAAGTCCAACAAAAATGTTGCTCTGGTTGGACATCAAACTGCTCGGTGAGGTATGAGGCGCCTTGGCAGACCGCAAATGAAGTTTTCTTTGCTTCCAGTCTTCACAGTTCCTGAGGCAAATTACTTCAAGTATTCATGAGAGATTGCAAGAAGCGTGAAGTCTTTGAGATATTTATTTCAATACGGCGTCAAAAATAAATTCTCTATCGCAGAATAATGTTTGCGGACTGGAACTAACCTTGTATAGGCTATAGTTCTGTTGATTATTCAGTCATTCAACTTAATTTATCGTAAACTACTTTGGTGTACATCTTATGACTTTCGTGATGGAGTTTTGACTTGTGGCAACGATAGTTAGTCTGGATTTTGTCGCCTTTTTGTATTCAGGACTTGCTCACTATTTGTCCGATACATACTATGAGTAACAGAATTCATCGCTATAACGTTACCAGTTCACTGTTAGGACAGATTTAACCGTGAGCAGTTCCTCAGGGTTTGTGATACACTACTGTAGTTATTGAAATACACTATAACGCGGAATCTCGAGGGAGTTCACGAGAAACGCTCCTTGGTTTCAAAGGTATGTCATCGTGTTCTAGTTCACCAACCGCCAGCAGCTGAATTCTGTATGCATACATTTTAGCCTTATCTCCTCCTGTCTAGATCGGCGCCCGGTGCTAACGCGTGAACTATTCAAGGTTCCCCTCAGACTGCTTGCAGTCACTAATTCTAAACGGTCGTCCAATGGACAAAACGACGAACCGCTTTTTGGCTTCAAGTTGGGCTGCATATCTGCGGTAGATGTGCGATCGGACCGCGAAAATCGCAGCCGATTTATTGCTTCCGTCCGTAAGAATACCGAATATGTAGACCTTTGGACGGACTTTTCAGGCCATTGCTTACAGAACCCTACACCAACTGACCAGAGGCCAGTCCATCTACCACCACCTGGTGTGCATCGATAGTAAGAAAATTTTCCGACTTTTGAGCTTTCCGAAACCAAACCACACCTGTACCAAGGTTTCTGATATCGTTAATGATTTTTGCTGTTGTCTGGAGGTGGAAATCCGTACACTTTAAGAAATAATGCCGTATTTAGACTCGAAGGTCACGTCAACTCATAGTCCCCCACTACCACACACTATATCTCTGAAGATGTCATTCTTACGGCTCATCTGCTGTTTATGTGTTCCCAAGTTCCAAAACTGTGATATATTCAAAAAGAAGCACTGTATTTTGTATGTTTGTCGGTCCCACCGTCCTTTTTGGCCTTCTGTTCCCTGTTTGCCAAAATTACTTAAAACTTTTAGCATAGCAGCTATCCCTCATTGTTGCTCAATCAACAACCTTCTTTTCGAATTTTTCTATTATTCTGTTGGTACGTAATGCCTCTTTTGCCTTCACATCGCTCTGAAGATAATACGGATTGGGTTGGTGATGAACGAAGTCGCATGTTCCATGCACACACAAGAGGTAGTCAGCAGCCTATCAGATTGTCACAATGTGCCCTGGACGTTCCTATCAAACTTGACATATACCAAAATATAAGAACTATCCCAAGACAATGGTCATACAAGGGTCGTCCATTTCCTCAGCGGACTTTCAGTTTTCTAGCGTCTTTTGTCTTCTGAATAGTTTTGCTGTACCTTTTCGCCGGACATCTCTTGGCTGAGATAAGAGAGTCTGTCAGGAAGTTGATCGGAATAACTTCATAGGAGTATTCCGTAGATTTTGATGGTGAAGATTCACAGAACGTAAACCTGTTTTCAGGTAGGAGTAGGAAAGTTTTGACCGAGCTGAGTTCCTGTTTTTCTGGTGTAGTTTTACACAAAGGAAAGAAATAAAGGAACGCAACGGGGCCGCCCGGAGAGATGACTCCCTATCCTTGTTATCCATACACAGAGACCAAGCAAACCACAAATTCAATAGGGAAAATATGAAAATCTCAGCATGCGGAGACACGAGACGGAATGGAATTTCTGGAGGCATAGTACTCCACAGACGTCACGAAAAGACTGAAACTTACGGTTTGCGTACCTTCGCGACCCATTTAGCTATACCGGAGGGTATCCGCGCGTCACCACAGAGTCTCTCATACCAGGTTAGTCCATGGTTAGAGGTCTGACAAACAGACTGCCGGCCCTCTAGGTTGGGGGTTGGAACATGTATGGCGACGCGTTCCGTAAAAATGGTAATGTGCTTGCATTTCCAGCCCAATACTGATGCCTTGGGGTTAGGCTTCTGAACCAAAGGCTTTGGTTGAGGACCCTAATCGTCCTCCTGTCTAGGTTTGGGCGCCCTGGCAGTATTCCAGCCCTCGTACAACCATGACATTGTATGGCAGTGGTGCGTCTTTTTCAAACACTGATGTTGCTGTTTTTGATTATAACGATGATGGTACTCCACAGATGATTCAATCAACCGATGGATTGTACTGGGCCAATTTACGCAATACTACGTGCAAAGGACGAACTCCATCGGAATGCTCAAAGAAAGCCAAATATCGGATTCGAGAACCAAGAACCAAGGAACTGCTTGGAGTCGGATCAATAAAGTTCACAAGGTTACACGCTCGTCTCTTATGTCAGATATCCGGGGTGCAAATCCCAGCACGGTCATTGGATATACACTGCGAAGCTTCTCCACAGCCTTCCTCCGAATATCAGCTACTCACAGAAATAATGGTTGTAAGGCGGTTGTTCGTCTACTAACAGAGCTTAACATATGGGTTGTTGAAACCATACTCTCCACGTGATCATAATTTGTCAGGTCTGAGAATAGTTCGCAACCTGGGTACTTGTTGCCTTTCATTCTTGTTGGAGGGTCAAATATGGTAGCATTTTGCAAGCAGATGTGTTTCGTTCTTCTTACTATTAGCCATAGTTGGGTGTACTGACAGTTTGATGCATATTCCAGTTCGGGCAAACGGAAATGTTAGGTGCTAATTAGATGGTAGTATGGATGCCCTGTCGAATCAGCTGCGGGTCAGCGGTAAAACGCAGACCCCGTATAAATATGTAGCTTCAGTACTTGGGGTTGCCAAGAGGCTCAGTAACTTTGAAATTGCGGCCGCTTATTACACGCAACCTTTCACCTGATTAAAGTGCACAAAATGCTTCCGATCTATGGGACACCTAGACTGTAGCTATAAAAGCAAGCAGTTTCTTCGGATGGGCGCCCAATATTTTGTTAATCACAGTGGAAATTATGTTGATGTCATTTATAGACTTCACATACTACACTATCATAATGACAACGAACGATACTAAAATCGAAAATTTCGGTTTCACATTCGTCATTCACAAGGCAACTACTGCCTTTTGCAGATCCTGGCACTTCAAAGAGTCTGACGAAACTAACTGCCGGTGAATCGTCGGCAAATGCTCAAAAAATAGGGCTCGAACCACTGCTTCAACTGAAGATTGTGTAAATAATATACAACTGATAGTGATTCATTTGACTGCGAAGTTTTTGCACTGGTTCACTGTTCACGCACTGGTCGATCCGCCTAGGTTTATTCGGTTGATCTAGAAAAATTCAACTACTCAATGGATCGTTTGCAGGAAATCTTGTCGTAGTGAGAATACTGATCACTTACATCCAGTCGTCTTTGACGAGTCCGTTTTTTTTACTAAGGTATAAATTACCTTACATGAAATGACTTGTTGGGGCAAAGCCTGAACACCAAAACCGTACAACCATATTACAAAGGTCGTGTCTTTACTTCACAAACCCATTGATTCGGCCAACAACTCACCGAAGTTAAGATTACCTCGCCTTTGAAGTTTGCAAACAAACTGTACAGCTCAGCGAACGAATCAACCGCCATCAGCCAGGCTATCTACAACGCATAACTGTGGCACCTAAATAACGGTAGGATTTACTCTACGCCAGAGAGAACATGCTCGTTGTACAGCAATATTTCATAGCCCGCATGTGAGGGAAACGCCGAACCAAAGGCTGAGTGAACCGCTACTGACCAGCTGGCGAAATTTAAATGTGATAAGTGTCAGGATGGATAAACTGAGAAACTGTGTGCTCCAGAACGCAGACGAAGACTGTGGATCATGAAAGGGAATTGTGCTTAGGGTGGACTTCATCTGAAATTGCACAGGGGACCAAAATCCGTCTTGTGCTCCCTTGTTTTTGTTCCGTTTTTTCTAGACTGTCTAGAGGCATTGATAGGAATCAGGAATGTGGCATTCGTATTCCATAAGCAGCTGAATGCGTGCAGATTGTAGGCTCAACTGTTCGGGTGTTGCTGAGGGGTGACATCAAGTTCAAGTTGGCTTTCACCATTTTCCCGTGAGGTGATAGAAGAATGGCCGTCTGGTGATGGGATGTAGTTGAGTGACTCTGACAGCTAAGCAATGCACAGCCCATCCAAGATGCTCATCGTTAAAGAAGTTAGCTCTTCAAGTCCATGCGAATACAGCGTGACTTCCAGCTAGCCCTCTACCAAAGAGATGTCATTTGGAAATCAAAGGTGGGTTCATTTGGGGTACTGTCTACGTAATGAGAGCCGCCTTCCTAAGGAACAGAGCACTTTGATTGGTTGATCTTTTGTAAACTGCTAGGTTGAAGACAAGGACACTATACACCCAGTGATGGGGAGACTTAATTGACATACCAATTCAATATCAGAGCTTCCGCAAGCCTCTTTACGACAAAGAAAGAAGTCGCCTCTTTAGCAGCTTTCTCTGTTTCGATCAACTGTTAGTAAGTAGCCTTCGACCGATTATTCGGTAATCAATAAACCATGTTGGATTGCTTGGTCAGAGGCTTGTATCGAACACCTGACTGAGGACACTGCTTGTCAGTATCTGATTACTTCATTTTTTCTAGCACATGGGCATGGGGAACTTGATTCTCAGACATAAGCACCGTATCGTTCAACCCACATAGTGTGCTCAACATTCGCTACTAATGTGAATACCTGAAACAAGTTTGTACCTAAGATCCATAATGAGCAGTCGGTCACCACTGAAGTGCATCTTCAGCTGTGCTGCATAGAGACTACGCCTCAGGTACACGATATCGTACTGCTTTTAAATGGCTCTTGAATTCGCGGACTTTCTTGGGTCTATTGGTCTTAGTTATTTTATCACTGTTATTGCAAACCTATCTGCCCCGAATCACCATTCTCTGTTATGTTGAGCATCTGTCATTTGTAAAGACTAGATATCTTATAAGTATTCTCTTCATATACACAAAGCTGTGCAAATTGATGTACTGGTCAGATCATGCAGGCATCCTCTGTCCTGGCTTCTAATCAATGAATAGTCAACTAACTGGAAGTCAACTTATCGTTTGTAAAATGCTAATCATTCGTTAGTTGGTTTTAAAATGTCGTATTTGAACTTGACTGTAAAATATCAGCTAAGATGGAGCTGACTAGGGAATGAGCTGCGTAACCTGATTTGCCATGGCAATCAGTTAGACTGACTCTATCCAGAAATGTATACATACCTATGTTTATGTTGAAAACATATTGCAAATCCCTAAGTAGGTGCCCACATCATAGTAGCTAACTCCAATCAAGTTTTACTGATCTCGAACTTTTCATCAGTCAACATTATTCGGTATCCAAGGCATTGACTACAGATGGGCGCGACCGAAATAAGTGTCCGTTAATCAAGGCGGGAAACGTCCAGCGTGCAGCGAAACAGTGAATGAGACCTAAGGATATACACAGTTTATCTAACACGGTGCTGGGCTGCACCCCACTTGGGATATGGGCTCTGAGTCTTAGAACCCGAGTTCCTGGGGTAAAGTATGATTAAAAAGACAGACAACTAATCAGCGCAGCACATCTGAGGATAGACTTCAGCATTGACTAGGTGTTCACTACGAATCCCAAGGATGAAATGCTAGTTCGCGATTCCTTCATGGTTTGGTATTCACTTGCCCGCGAACACTCGGTAAATTGTGTGGGTCGAACAATATGGCGCTTGTGTCAGAATCAAGGGCCATGTGTCGATTCGCCGAACATATGACAGGCGGTATCCACCGTTACCAGTTAGATTCAGGCCTACTCCCACGCCTTCACATTACCATTCAGGGACTTTTACTTTTGGGGTATTCCCCTGGTAGCATAAATACGATGAATCGTGCGTTGTGTTACCGACCCGTGTAACATATTGCTCGAACGTTCATATCATTCCCATCACTAGCTACTATAAACTACCAAACTGCCTATCTGTCCTATCTCCCTCATGCCGATTCATCCCAGCAATCAACTACAAACCTCTAAGCCAATAAAACAGATAACATTGATGACATAATAGGTCTATATGTGTATTCATCAGAGAGGTAAGACAAATCCTCATCATCAGACCTAGTTTTTCCGCCTGGCTACAGACCACTGTGGGCCAGAACAAGCTGTCTCCCCATGGTTGAACTGCAGAAACATGGAAAAGAACTGCATACGCCATCGTTTCATTTATCCAAGTGACAGCTGATGGGAAGCAAAGATTACACCAATTTTCCCTCCAAAAAACGCAGTGCCTTACAACCTGCAATTAATGTATGTTGCAAAGTCGGGGAGAAGCGATAACAGTTATCAGGTTGCATTAAATAACCTTTCGCATTGTATGTGAAAATTGTTAGCGCAAGTTGAGGACAACTATCATGTACTATTTTGGGAGAAGCAGGGAACTATCTCAAGGTTAGATTCTCTTTATCTAAAGGTGGTCATCATAGGAGTACTGAAATATGTCAGTAGAAGAAATTTGTTTAATTAACGGGTGATAACTAGGGAGTCTTTTAAGGAAACTAACGGCGTCTACTTTCCAGACATTACATTTGCTCAAGAGACCGCTAACTGAATAAATGTTCTCAGGGAATCTGGGTTTTAACTACACAACACAATCATCACACTCACCAAAGCATGTTTAATCTCTCTAGAAAATGTTCCAGAATTCTAGGTCTTGTAAAAATCTCATTAGGAGTTGTTTGCACCAGAAGAGTGGACAATGGGTGACCAGAAATCAGGCTAGGTTTTGATACTGTGTACACGGAGATTAAGGAAATCCGGGGCTTTTTCCTGCTTCCGTCCTGAATATCCCAGAAGCACTTGTGTTATATGCCCAATGCCACCTAAGCAGATCCACTCATCGAAAGTGGATTGGGAAAGATCCAAACACCCGAGGGCCTTCTATGTCCCGGACCCCCGCGGTTCACATCCAAATAGGATCTTGTAGCTCGTATTGTCAAGGGAAACAAAAAGGGAAATCTCAGTACTAGGTAGACGAGTGTGCAAGACAGTCTCCATCGTAATCTATTAGAAGTTATAACTGGTTTGACTCATGTGTAAATAGCTAAGCAGGAATACGCTATGCAGCCCAAAGCCCATGACGGAGAGACTGAACCTTACTTTGGTGTGTCGCAGCGACCCATTGAGCTATACTGAGGATATCCGTGTGACACTCGTGAAGTCTCTCATACCAGGTTGGTCATTGGTTAGAAGTGTGGCCAGCACGGTCTGCTGGTACTGAAGGCTTGAAATCGGAAAGTTTTTTGAAGGTCTGTTCCCTAAACATTGTAGTGCACCAGCATTTCTCGCCAAACCCTGCCTTGCGGTCAGGGTTTTGGACCAAAGACTTTGATAAAGGACCTCCATCCCCTCCGTCTAGGCCCTAAATCCATGGCAGTATCCAAGCCTACCTATAACCATGATACCTATAAATAAGGACAGTAGCCAGTCATAAGTGCTCTGGACTGACGTTATGGTGTTGATGCTGACGATGACATGAAACATCTCGTTGCCTGAAGTCAAAGTTACTGCAAGCGGAAATCTGTGGTCATCTAAATATCTGTCTAATTGATACAATAAACACTAAACAAGGGTAAATCATCCGTTGATAGAAAAGAACAATCTTTCAAACCCAGAAGGATTAAAATTATCGAACGTTATCAAAGACTATCCTGACAGCAGTTCTGGAAAAATAATAATTGCTTGCTAATATCTTTTATTTCTGAAAGCCTCAGAAGGAATCAAGAGAATGTGTGAAGATAATAAATTTTGATATCGTCAGTTAAATAACCGGTGTCCGGTATGACTAGCACTCACAAAATAACTTTCATCCCAGCTTCTCTTGGTGCTTTCATTACATCTTGAGACTAATAGAGGATTCGGAATCACATCATACTTAGCAGTAAAGTGGTCAAAAAACAGAAACAAGTCATTCATTAGATAAGAGTAATAAGGGAGAACTAGGAAAAGTTTTTAATGCCTTGCGAAAATGTAGCCACTTTGGTGGCAAACTTATTTAGCCTAACTGTGTTCTCCGTTACGAGCGGTACCTCCTCCCAGTGAAGCGAATCTCAAAAGAGTCTCTGAATCAACTAGCTGTACAGCATCTACACCATGAACTGAACGAAAGAGCAGTTCACACACCATTCGAAATCTAGCTTGAAGTCCTCCAGGAAGCACATCCTTCGTCATAACCATCCAGAAAACTCCATCATTTGCTTATCACTGCTACCCCCTCCGAGGCTGGAGGAAAAGTGACTTTATACCTATCAAGAAGTCTGGCCAAAGAGCCTTATCGAAGAAAGCCAATAGGCACGGGGTCATCCCTTTGTCATTTTGGGCAGTAACATCTTCCGGCCTACTGCCATCTTACGGTGACAGATGCTACGGCCGGAATGTGCTTTCTTTGGGTTGTCAAGTTGTTGTCAACACTCTTGACAATCGTGAGTCAAGGTACTCAAACATTACTAATGTCGGCAACTGCGTGAGCTAAAAAGAATACGGCTGCATGGTCAGCAGACCGACATATCGATCACGCTGTAACCCGATGGAAACGTGATCTACTCTGCCAAACAAAAGTTGAACGAGATTTCCATTTCCCCACCATTGTTTACAACACTGGGTAAAGCCTGGTAAAATACTTTGTTTAAAGAAAGAATTTCTTTTATTGACAAAAAGTTTGTTTGCCCCCTATATGCTCTTTTGTGTACTGCCAAACCGATGCAATTTTGTGACTACTGTGAACTATTTCAGTAGCCACTAGCTTTCAGAGGTGCTTCTGTTGCGTGTGAGCTGAGAATATCCCAGGCGCCGCGAGGAGGATTCAGATCCCCATAGACTGCTGAAAGCATTTCCCTTGGTAGTACTCATATTATTCATCAAAACTTGGCCCCAAAAACTCTGATTTCAATAAATAACTTCAACCATTTTCTGATAGGGATAAAATTGGTAAAGATCAAATCAAACCCTCACTAAATTATCTCGCAAAATAAGTCACCATGGGCAGTAAAGTCAGTGGCTTTTTAGTCTTTTACTATTGGGAAAAACTGAGGTTTGCAGAGCCTTGTTTCTGGATAATGCCACCCAACTGTAAACAAGTGAGTTAATGGTTAAAACAAAGCTCAATGTTCAAGGACGTTTCAAAGAGAAAGCATCCTGGGTATTCATTTGGATGAGTAGGAAAAGACTCCGCATGTGAGCATGTCTGCTCGTGACGTGTGCATTACACTGTATTAAATGGTTATTTGGTTTGAATGAGGGCGTATTTTGCCAGGCGTTCAAAATTCACAACTCTATGTTTGGATTCCACGGACTGCAAGTAATAAGAAATCCAGCAGGAGCCTAATGGAAAAATTAGATCATTTTGTTCGGTGAGTTTGTTGATTATGATCCGTGTAACCTTTAAGGATATCAGAAGTTTATCAGGAAAGTTTCCACCATGGACGGTATTCACAGACCGACTGTAGTATGGACAGAAAGACTCAAAAGTTAACAGTATCAATCGACCGTCACGAAGAGACTGGACCCTATCGTGGTGTGACGGTTTGCGCACCTCAGCGATCCATTGAGCTATACTGAAGAGTGTCTCGCGACACTCGCAGAGTCTCTCATACCAGGTTGGTCAATAGTTAAAGGTCTGACGAACACAGTCTCCTGGTCCTGCAGGTTGGGGGTTGGAACATGTGGTGACTTGTTCTGTAGAAATGATAATGCGTTTGCGTTTCCCGCCAAACACCGCTGCCTTGCGGTTAGGCTTTTGAGCCAAAAGCTTTCGTTGAGGACCCTAATCGTCCTCCTGTCTAGGTGTGGGCGCCCTGGCAGTATCCCAGTTCACGTACAAGCGTGAAGTACTCTATGGCAGTGAAGCATCAGTGTTGAACACTGATGTCATGGTGATGATGATGATGATGATGATGATGATGATGATGATGATGATGATGATGATGATGATGATGATGATGATGATGATGATGATGATGATGATGATGAGTATCAATCGAACTCAAGTTCCGAGTCTGCTGACTGACATACATTTGCCTTAACTATCTTCCACGGCCTCTTTTATCAGTCGCCCTCACCTCACCTTTAGTGGGCAGTAAATCGACCAGCAGGGATTTTCGCTGCAGCTAGCATACCAGGAACAACTCATTCAAGCGTTTGTAACCCATTACTCGAAGGAACAATGCTTAAGACACAGGTGTTTTAGCTCCTAAGATAGCCACTTTGGGTGCCCTGCTTTCTAGAAAATTTCGTTGTGAGCCGGAAGTATCTACAACCATATTTGAAATATGCAATCCACCAGGTTTCTGTCCTGACTAGGACCCGTCAGGAGTTATGTCTAGCACTGTATTCCAGAATCCACCACTAGACTACAAGGTCACCGAACACACTTTTGCTCATAACGTATGTGAGGGAGCTACTCATGAGTGACTACCCACGAATAAAGGTGTCCGCGAAACATCAGACGTAGTAGTCATCAGCTAGTTATCAAATAGCTATTGGTATGGATCTCAAAAACGTCTCTTCCTTGCGGAACCATGTGTGTTACGGAACCATGCGTCGTTGCCAAACTTAGAGTGAGCTAACTGACTGTGGTGTTGATAACAAGAAAACGTAGACGAAGGAGGAGTGGTCAAGATGGAGGGAGGGGGGTAAAACCAGTCAGGCCCATAAATCACCCGCAAAATATATTTACTCACAGAGTGCTAGGAGAGCATTAGTAACCGTACCTACAGGCACGCCCTAATGGATCATTTTCTTGATCGATGCATGGTATGCAAGTTCTAGCATATACTGAACAGGAGTTATGTGCCTGGGGTGGTAAATTTTGCTGTCGTTGGTTGTAAGATATGTTTGGATGGAGAAAGCCTTCCAGTTATTTCAGAAGTTTTCACTATGCAAAAGTGAATAGAACTTAGTAAACAGAAGGTAGATACCCCATGACATAAGGCGCCCAGACGACCGATGTGTGAGTTATACACTCTTCAAACATTCCGGAGAAAGTCGTTTACTCCACTGTTAAGGGTTTTGCAGCTAAGAGCATTTTGCGGCTGATGGCTCCCCCTGTTCTGCATACCGATCCGAATTTACCTGGATACTCACTGGAACCCAGCTGAATCCCTCCTTTATGATGTTCTAAAGATGATCATAAACAGCGTACAAGTTGATAAGTCAAATGATTTTCAATCTGCGTTCAGGTAGAACATAAAGTTAACAGAAATCGGTAAGTGAGCCTATGTGAATAGCCCCAAGAAGGGTGAAATCGTTCCTTAGCTGCCGAAGAGTTTTCAGCCGGTTTAGTAGTAGTGTATTAAGCCCAAGACAGACATTGTTTAAATGAACGGAGATACTCGATGACAACAAAGCAAAGATTTCAAGTGGGAGAACTCTCAGGATAGAATTTCATTTGAAAGCACTCGCGTTCTTTATAGTCCATCTACCCCGACGATGTCTGTGAACTAAAAAACTACGTGAAACAAGGTCCTCTGGGCACACTAAAGTAGTCATTGTGATTGGACTGAAACTGAAAGCATACTATCCCCAGCGAAAAAATGTCTCTAAGAGTTTCCTCTTTGAGGTGACACTGTGATAGATTTAGACACAGTTAAGCACGTTTCGAAATGCCTCGCTTTTGTTTGCCATTGATCAGTGGAACAGTGAGATGTAACGTGAAAGTAGGATTGTTAATCCCGATATTGTTTTCGTTCTATTCCTATTCACACAAATGCCAGGATCTTATGCGATTTCACGGCTCATTGACAGCACAGCGTTCTTCACTGCTCACTCTCCTTCATCGAAACATGCCTTAATTTGTTACCAGCAGGTGACCTACAATCAACAGGTATGCGATGGATAGACGAACAACGGACCAGGTATTTATTTTGACCGTTGGCCGATGAGGATCTTTTATTCACACGGAAAATGAAGAATTCAAAAAGAAGAGCATCTCAAGGAGCCGAGTGTCTTATTCTGAGAGGTTTGTATATGAGGGACTGTTCGTTCACTTATGCATCTAGAAGTAACTTCAATTCGTAATCCCGTTTAGAACCGGCGTCACACAGTGCCGGTGATCCCCGACGGTACTGAAAGAGACGTGAAATGCTGCAACATGGAAGACGTTAACTCTTCAGAATGAATCCCACGTAGGTGCTTTCTTGATTGATTTTCGTCAGAAATACTCTTTTTCGACCTCAACGGAAATTGTTCATCGATGCTGGAGTCTTGTTCACGTTCGCCTGCTTTGAACAGTACTCAGTTTTTAATCGATCGTTTTGCACCACCACAGATGTGCGTGACTCATGTTTGGCCAATCAGCAACAGCACGTGTGAAGTGCAGACAGAGGATGTTTTACCTGCTTCTTAGAAATTCAGCTCAGTTTTGCCAAAATCGTCGTAAACATAGTTTTGGGGACATAAAGGAGCGCACAAATCCATGAGCGTGTGCTTGATTAGAACGGATTTGAGACTAGTTGGTTCTTCCAGAAATTCTACCCTTCGCCTTTAAATCTCTCCTTTTAACGTTGTGCTATCAAATGTCAAATCCTCTTGCGTGATCAGTAGTTCAGTAAGCATATAACTTGCTCACACCTAGTGAACTCTGGCTCAGCCCGATCCAATTGTTGATAAAAGACCGTGCCTGGGAACTACACTATTTCATAGCTGTTTCACACGGTGCTAGTTCACTCAGTGCAGGATATCCCACTTGTAACTACCATAAAACAGAAGTTGCTACCAGCAAAAACAAGGGGACTTCATTTCTCCCAACAGCATCACATCACTTTCTTTACGTCAGTTTTATCGTCTCCTTCTGAACTGGTTGCAATGTTTGAGGCTATTTAGATTATCTTTTCTCTGTGCAAGTTTCATAGAATCCAGATCTAATTGTAAAAACCTTGTTGTGGTAAACAGATAAATAGCATGTTGAACCGTTTTCGACCCGACGAACTCGATGTGCGTTAGAGTAGCAATCGAATCGGCGTTTGAAACGCGAGCAATGCAAACGGTGATAAAATTGAAAGGATTTGTCAGACTATTCACAAAGATACACAAAGAGAGACTAAGACAGCATCCAAGTGTTAGCATTCATGTCATAGTTGCTATTGTTACTTTAAACATCAAGGCACATTTTAGTTTAGAAAGGTAAGAGCTGTGTTCTCATAAAACGCATTTTCTAGATGGCGTACGTAGCCGTGGCACAGTGTCGATATACACCCACAGATCCACCTTGCTCGTCCAAAAATGCAAACCATAGTCAGGTCACTGGTGCTGGTATGCTGTCGGAGTACTCACGCTGACAGAACCGAGACACTAAATTGAGATGTGAATCTAAGGTTTAATTGATTACCTCAAAATGAAAAGCACAGTTTATCTCCAACTTCTTTCACTAAGCTCCCACACCCTTGACACGCGGTCGATCGGTGAGCAGAAAGGATGATGGTATCAGTATGAAAGAAGCCAGACAAATTGAAGCCAAGTTACTAATCCATACGGTCCAATGATATCATATCCTACTGTTTGGCTACATAAAGCCCGGTAAACAGTGCAAGTGATTACAGTATTGTTATCTGAATTTCTCAGCTGAAGAAAACAAGAATGGGTGAGCGCAAAGCGGTGATCAAGAATGCCGACATGCCAAACGATATGCAAGATGAGGCGGTGCACGTAGCAGCCTATGCAGTAGATCATTTTGATATGGAAAAGGATATTGCGGCACATTTGAAAAAGGAATTCGATCGGAAGTATTCACCAACTTGGCATTGCATTGTGGGAAAAAATTTCGGAAGGTGAGTTTGGCAAGTTAATGCACCAGTCACGTGGTGTGACTGTGTCAGCATCTACCAATCGAGCTGCCCTTTGCTCTGCGTTCCGATGACTTGAAACGCTTTATTTTGTTATCTTCGGGCTGGAATCGCCCGTCCATACGAATACAACAAATCCGTGTGAATAAGTGATCCAGTTGGGTCAATCTTGCAAAAGACAGTAAATACTAAGACTGTAGAACCTCTGAAATATGCGAGGCAAATTCTGAAAGTTCAGAAAGCATGAAGCCGGGAAAGCCAAATCAAACCGATGAATGTGCTTCGTGTTCTGCAGACGTGAATCGAATTGTTTGATCACTGATCAGCCAGATGTATCTTATGCACACACCTGGTAGACGGGTGAGACGAGAACGAAGCAGTAGCAGTTGGGTCGAAGTGTTGATGTTCCAGATCGAGGTAACTCGCCATCAGATAGGGGAAAGAGCTAACTAGGGATTGTGCGGACTGCGCTGTTATGAATGACCCCTTTGCTTCTCCGAAATAATGCAAAAGTACTCGCTCGCCAGTTTCCCAACCAGCTGTCAACGAGTTTCGGAATAACTGTGCCAGTCACCCCTTACAGAAGACTGCAGCTCAATAAAGTACGCTCTCAGCCAGCATTTCGCAATATATAAGTTCGCAGCGTTAGTCGAAACAGCTTCAAGTAAACGTTTTTCGAAAATTTTGATGACAATCGATAGATTTATTGCTGGGCAACATTTCGCTTTTGACACAAAAGCTTCGTCAGGCCAAGTGACTAGATTCCGAGGTTGGTCGAGATTTAAGGCGGGAGGAGAACTAATCAGCTAAGTCAAGCTAAATCCCTGTTGGGTGTCGCTTCAAGTAAACCTATTAGTTTGTGGCGAATGGTCATCGGATACCCATATAGTCTAACTGGGGAACAACAGCGACTAAGCGTGGACCATGCATGCCTCATTCCATCCACTGACCTTGGTGGTTTAAATTCAGTTTTTATGGTGACTACCTTCCTTTCTTGATAAGCCGTGAACCGGTGGGACTGAAGAGGTCATGCGTACTGGAGACTTTGGAATTTGCTTAAATCTAGAAACAAAATTCCTTCATTGCGTCAGTTGGAGGATTTCTGGTTTGCTCATCTGTTGACATAATGTTTTACTGCGTGTTTTCGACGCTTTTTTCTCCGGTTTTCTCGAAACTTACTAAGCAATTCTTTCTCAGTCTGTGTTCAAAATTACATAACCTCATCTGGAAATGGTTGAGACGAAATAGAGTGGATTCAACATACTCTCCGACAACAACATAGTTATCCTACTTGAAAAACGTCACTTTGAAGAGGTTTGTTCTGTTTTGGCCCTTGAAGCATCGTCAACTGGCATAGTCCTCGCAGATTCAGTTGCGTTTTTTGTTCGGAGCTATAGACAGTCTTTTTCTGGGGAGACAAATGTGCTCTCCTCTCACGATACCTGCCTTCGCATCCTTTTCAGCTACGTCACCCACGAGACCCAAAATTTCATTTACTTCTACTTCCAAGACCGTGCTTTTCTGCTTTTCAAATCCGGCTAACAAGAGAACCCCAAATGGCATCAGGAAACTCAAGCTGTGATCATCTGCCCATGCATTCAAAAGAGACATCCTGTTTGAAGGCACTTCGACTCAAAAAGTCGGTCTTCAAACTTTTGTCACGTATGTACCCAGTTTAATATAATATAGCAATATTTCCAATATATTTTGCCTTTTTATTTGGATGAATCTTTCCAACGACACTCAGATTTAAGTAATCTATTGAGTGGTCCGTGGGATTCAAAATTTAGGAGAGCTACTTAACCCCTAGAAATTGATCTTGAACGGAATAAGCTCCAAAAAAGACGTTGGGAACTCTTTTTCCGTGTACGTACCGAACATTACCTTAAGAATAACATGGCTGACTACACTAAAATCTAGATAATGCGAAAGTTAACTTCTACTGAGTGTTGTTCACACCACTTGATGCCACCTAAACCAGCTTTTTGTCTGTTGGGGATTCTGTCAAATGCAGTATCAGCTGTGATCCGCACCAGCCGTATTGCTATACGTCCGGCTAATAAATCTAGGCTTTATTGGTAGCAGTGCCATCCACGTAAGTTAGGACATCGATGGCACATACATCTGTAGGAATTCACTCGTTCTGAGATCATTAATCAGTCTCGAAGCCAACGTTCAGCATCATGCGCAAAACAATGAAACTCAAACTTTGAGGAGGATTACGAACTGAAAGAACCATTCACCATAGCGGAAAACCTTGTAGTTATGCTCATTAGAAAAATACAAAGGAAAACAACCAAATGAAGCAAGCTTTGCACTCACGTGGAAGACCATGTGTTCTTTGCAGGAAGCCTTGGAATTAGTAAGACCCAAGTGTCTTATCACGAAGAACATATGGAGAATTCCATTCCACCAGGGTGTTTCTAGTAAAAGGTGTGAGCTAATTAATGAATTGTCCCCTTCAATGCACCCTCTTTAGGTCCTCAAAGGATTTGGGGGACGAACTGACGAGAACCTCTAAGAGAAGGCAATAAATGGCTGTGCAAACAAAAAGCGGTAGGAATTCAGACAAGATTAATGATATCGTGCAACGCAAACATTGTTAATTGTGGTCGGCCAGATAACCCCAGTGTTTTGCCTCAAACAAACCGCTGAGACCAGTAAATTTACTGGGGGACTGATGCATTCCTTTCATTGAAAAGTTGCGGTGAGATCTTGTAACTGTAGGATCAAAAGCTTGCAACCTCCGAGGGAAGCTTTTGGTCTCCATGAAGCTAACTCACGTAGCTATTCTCCAATTTTTCTAAGATCCTCGTGGATTTAAAGTCCGCAAGATTCGATCTTCAAGTTAGGAAATGAGGTATTCTGAAAAGCACTAAACTGTGGACTTTGTCTATACTATCTATTCATGAGATCTGCTTTGATCAGTGGATTTCTATCGTTGATTGCATCCTGACATTGTCATTCTGTGTTGAGAATGAATCGAAGTGAGTTTACCTTTCAACTGATACAGTGCTAAGTGAAACCGGGTGGATTAAAATCACAATGGCAGTATCTTCTGAGATGCCTTGATGCTTGATTCTTGGCTTCTACAAATCTCCACAAACCTTGTGACCGAATCACTCTACGAAATAGAGCCTTAGTGTAATAAGAGAAGCGTTCGTAGGCAGTAACCCTAGTGGTTTTCTTTGAAACTGTTCCAGGACGATGACCTTAGAGTGGGTTCTAAGGGTCTCCCATTTAGTTGGGCAGCAGAATTTATTCTCTAAATCCTTTCCATTTTTTGTGTAATTGCGAGTTAATCACACTGATGATTAGTCAGTTAAATTTTCAAACTATTAGCCTAGGGGTGGCGTGTTCGACTCCCTGGAATAGGAATGAAACAGCTGTATACCGTCTTTCGAATTTTCAGCATATATTGGCCTTACTTCCAGGGTGAAGTCTCCATCAGAATTTATTTTTTGCCATACCACTAGAATCACCCATAGAAATGATGATTCTCGGCGTAATTCTCCTAGTATTTTGTTTGTATTGTCATGCCTACTCAAGTACTTCATACTCTCTGGACGAGCGATGAGTCGAGCTTTCTTACTGCGCAGGCTATATGGGGGCCACTGAACAGCTTATCCATCTCTATATTGCAAATTTTATTGAAAAGACTATCTAAAAATGCAGCACTATGTGGTCCCTGCACAGAGAAACGCTGATACTCTGGTCTACCATACAGCTGTAGTGGGAGTATGAACACAGAACTGAATTAACCGGTGTATTGCTGGTTCTAACGAAAGTTTATCTGACAATTTGACGTCTGTAAATCGCATCCTATTACCCGCAATGACGAAGAACGTATCAGGGATCTGGTCCACACTAGCGATCCCAACAACCCCTCAGGAATCTCGGTAGCAATGAGCACAATGTGTCGAAAAGTGTGTCACAGGTAATGCTAACCTGTTGTTCTCAGGTCGAAGGCCATCATTCTGGTATACCCAGATTTGTGTCTCAAGGTTAGACATTCTCGGTTATTTGAGGACAATTAGTTCAACGTAAACACTGGTTTGGCTAGCACTTGTAAGACAGATAAATGTGCTTAATGACAAACGACTGAACCACACAATCTAGAGCGAATCCAAAGAAGTCTCATCTCCAAACTGGAAAGCGATACGCACTGATCAACAAAATGACTCAAGGATGCCTCGGAAGGAACCTGTGAAATACCACGTGTGGAAACGGTCGTAAACGGCACATGGACACTAGTGTTCGCCTCAAAGCCCCATCATCAAGTATTCGGAAGGATCGTACGTATGTTGGAAAACTAAGTATTTAAATCCATGCAAACCAAATCTGGTAATGTTTTGTCTTTTCTTCTATTGCGCTCTTGGTTCCGTAGCACGGCATTCGGTACACCATTGGAAACTGATAACAAATTTATCAAAATGATATCATGCTTCTTACTTAGGCACAAGACTCATTTAACATCGTTGAAAAAGTGTTATGCCACAAATCCCCGTTAGCGAAACTATGAACCTTATTCATGCCTCCACAGTTGGTATAAAAATCAAATGAATGGAGACTGTACTTTGGAGTTGATACCCAAGTGACAGATTGCTCCCACTGTTGGTCAAAGGGAAGTGTGGGTCATTAAAAAGCTTTTGAGTTATTGACCTGCAGATGCTTTCTTGCCATGGATGACCTCTGTGGGTTTTTGACGCCGGTTGTCCAAAGGCGGTGGAAAAACGATGACCCAAGGAAAGGAGCCTTCTCCGCTTTGTGAGTGACGCTCCTTACCGTCGTGTGTTTACAGAATATTCGAGCCTGTATCTCGTTTACTCGCTCCAAATTTGTGCTCCTGTATGGTTATAATGTTGATATTCCGCAAAGAGTGTCGTTTATTTGGTGCGCATGAATTGCAGTGCTCGTCAAAGCTTTTAGGTGGCGAGGGAATTGGGAGAATGCGTTGCCCTTAAACATTGTACAAGTGGAAACAGGTGGATTAGGACAAAATTAAAATGAAGAGAAACTCAGAAATAGCCCGTAGATCAGCTGCAGTCGTTCTCTTAACCTGTTGTTTACCGACACAGGGGTTATTTGATTGTGTTGGTGATTTAGCTACATTTTTCGACTGACTATATCACTAAGAAATCCTGGATGAAAATAACATTAGAATTCACGAACTTTGGAGGGCGTAAAAGAAATCTTGCGCGATATTATGCAACAAATTTGTCTGGCTTTCTCGTGTTTGTTTTCTATCCCAGACGGAGTTGGCTTTCTGCTAGCGAATTTCTGCTGATAATTTGAGAGTCATTCATTGGTTTTTCCGCAGATTCAATAAGACAGTTCAGAGGTGACCAAATGATCAGTTTTGGATGTCAACATACACCAAATTAACACTGTTACTTTCACCTCGGAAAGGCTATATATATAATAGCGGATGCAGTAAGCATTGTTACTCAAAGATCATCTAACTGAGGGTGTGTCGTGATAAACGAATGACGAGCTCGTTCTGCCATACAGAGCCGACAACGAACCCAAAAGCTTTAAAGCATTACGTCCGAATCACCGCTTCAGAGTCAGTCGTAAAATACCTGTGCTTTATCTGAATAGCATTAACAATTCTTTGAGCAGTGTGATCCGTTAGTAAAATATACTGCGATTCTTCGAACATCACAAGAGATCGTCTCTAAGTGGCATATCCATTTTGAAAATACCAAAAATAAGAAATCTAGGTAGGATGCAGCTATGTATCCCCTAACAACCAAATTACTATACTTTCGCCATATCCATTTTCCCAATCCGAAGATTTCAACAAAGCCGGTCAATAATTATAGTAAAATGGTGACCTCAAGTCATGCGGCATCTGAGAACACCAAGTGGAAATGACAGCTGATTCAAGTTCACCAGCCGCAGGTGTCTTTTCCGACATTCATGGAATTTACACGTCTTTTGAAGTGTTGCGCACTCTCATTTGTCGTTGGCCTGTTGGTTTTGGTTGCGCGGGCGCAGTCACCATCGAGAAACTCGTCACTCAGTGAAACGCACTGCAACGTCAACTCAGACTGCTGAGGCTACACCTTCCCCACCTGCTATTGATCGGAATCGTGTCTAACCGAAGGGGTCTAGTTCGCCCACCTTACACATGGTGAACTTAATGCCTGGTCCTTCGATTCAGTCACTAAAGCAGCGGAAGCCGGCCTTTTGGTCACACTGTCTTCAATGAACAGCCTCACCCTACTAAACACGGACTTTCAGTGTCTCGAAAACCGGTTACCGTGCCATAATCATAGTATCAAGTACTAAAACCTGGCAGCACGTTTTTGCTACTTATTATTCTTGGGGAACCATACAGATTTGACAAATGAGTTGAGTACATCTTCTAACTAACAGTTATGATGAGTGCTGCAACATTAGTCATCATATTTCTCTGCATATCTGCATGTACCAGACGAAATCTTACCGAAGGAAGAGTTCCCAAATGTTTGGCCTTCACCGAGTCGGTAATGCCGGCCAAGGACACTAATTCCAATCGTACCGTAGTCCCACCGCCT